ATTCTCTTTATCTTCTTGTATCTCTCTCTCCAGTCCTTTTATTTTTCTACAAAAGGCCCCTATGAGTTGTAGAAAGTGATATGCCATCATGTACCCTTGATTCCATGGAAGTGCTGTATGATGTAAGTGTCCTGGAAATGGAGCGGTGAATAAATGGAGCTAGTGCAACACTTGTTTAGAGGCAGGAAGAGACCCTGGACGTGATGTAGGCATACTGGATCGATGAACATCACTTTTTGACATGCTGGACCAGGGGAGGTGGTGTGTGTGTATATTTATATCCAGTTCCACATGAATGCAGCCAACTATCCTGGAAATAGACTGAGAGGACTGAGTCATTGTATGTGTGTGTGTGTCCCTTCCTCCCCCATCAGTTAATCTGTATCATTTATCAGCCACACTACTACACATTGGCTTTAATTGCAGTCGATAGTGAAGCTGCTTGAAGCGTATTAATTCTTTAGCTCTGTGCGGAGCATCACTCAATCACTTCAACCTAACTTTGTTTTTAACCCAGTTTTCATTTACTGCAGCGCCACAAAGCCCCGTCTCTTCAGTGTGCGGGCACTAATTGCAGGAGAAGTCACTGTCGTCTTCTGCTTTGAAGAATAACCCGCTGCCCCTCCCCTCTCACCTCATTTAGGGATGAGCTTAGATCTCCAGAGCATTTTGTGCATATGTTAGCGAATGTGTCTATTTGTGTCTGTGTGTGTGTGTGTGTGTGTGTGTGTGTGTCCCTCCATACTAGTAATGAAGCAGAGCTCAGCAGGAGTCCTGCAAGGAGGCCACAGTTGTGTATGATGTTTGCCACGCCAACATTCAGTGTGAGCAGGGGAAAAAGACGCACTGGGCTGAGCTCAGTGGGAGTTTATTTACACTTTAATGTATTGACTCATAGATTATATTTAGCATTGTGTTTGTGCATGTTTGAGGTGGTTGGTGGCCATTTACTCATTCATGCATATGTTTGTGACACTGAGTGATCATAACTAAATGAAACATTACTATTTTAAGAAAATGTGTTTTGTATATTTACATTATTGGAGAACTAGTGTGAAGTTAACTTTTTAGGACATTCACATGGGTTTTCTATTGTAACTCCTCTTACAGTCCAAAGACATGCAGATTGGGGGTTAGGTTAAGTGAAGACTCTACATTGACTGTAGGTGTGAATGTGAGTGTAAAAGGTTGTTTGTGTCTGTATGTTGGTCCTGTGATACGCTGGCAACCTGTCCTGAATGTAGCCCACTCCTCGCCCAATCCCAGCTGGAAATGTCTCCAGCTCCACAAGCAAAATTCAATGGAGAAGCAGTAAAGGTGATGGATGGATGTATGGACGTGCTACAACAGTAAAATTTATGGCAAAGCTGTGTGTTGATCATAACTTGTATTAAGGACAGCAGTCCTGGAAACAACACTGCTGAGAGCAGTGAGAGTGAACCGGCTTTAAGTCAATGCTGCTAATTTTACTAAAGCAGCATTTCAAATACAGGACCTTTACTCATAATTATGCAGTTTTGCTTTTTATATGTCAACTTTACTAAGTGAATACTATTCCACCATATAGCTCTCTAGCAGTGATAGCTCAAAAGTGGGCCGCTGGTGTGCTCTATTCTCACCGAGCAAGAAGCTCACTCACAAACCCTCCATACCACACTGCCTGATACATCCGTATCGACGTAATCTCATCATGTTTGCAGTCTGTCACAGAATATAGGGCTGCCCTGAGCAAAGCAAAGGTCCTGTCACACTGACAGCTCATCTCCTCCTCTGAATTGTAAATCTGCCTAACAAACAGGAAACTAGCGGACCAAAAATTCGAACAGATAATGACATCGACAACACAGGGATATGTGGTCGCTTTACCTGGCCAGTGCTATGAGGAGGGATGTAAGGCATTCAGAGCCTCAGTTATAAGGACGCTGAGTGAAAGCTGTGGTAGAGATGTTCTCTGGCACAAGGGAGAAATATCACTAAGGAAATGGGAATTAGTTCAAAGGCCCAGTGAATTTCCCTCCATTGTCGTCCTCCAGTTGAGCAGAACAGATCTTTTTTTTGTCTAAGAATCCTCATTTGTAAAAGGCCAATTTTCATACGTTGCTTTAGTTTGTTGCCAAACCAAAACCCCAGGAATTACCAGAAGAAAAAATGTGGCCTTGCTGATTATATTTAAAAAAGACTGTGCTGTCAAAATAGGCACAGTCTTGTCAAACTTGGAAACAAAGGTTCAACATGGCTGACATTTTGTGCAGACAGGATCTACCTTGGAGATAAATTGTGTATCAACAGGACTGTGTGCAGGATGGTCTGTAGTTTGCTGAGTGCACCCAGTGCGCCAAGAAATCCGAGCAGCGTGCAGAATGTTGCTGAGTGTCTGGTTTGCAGACTCTCCTCTCTTGCGTCATCCCTGAGAAAACCTATTGATGTGATTCATGTTTTAACATATGGTTACAACCAGGAGCCTGAACATGACGACTCCTGCCTCAGCTGCTTCTCTGTAAATAGAGGATCTCTCAAGCAGCACTTACAGTCACATCATCACGGCCTGGCAGTTCCTCCCACACGCATTCTAAAGCAGGCTTGGCGTGATCTGGAGGGGAAACGCCAAGGGGATGAAAACCCGTCCTTTTGAGTGTTAACAACTATGTTGCTGTTCCTGAATCTGGCAATCGCACAGTGCACCCAGGCTTCGGCTCTCTGTAAATTATGGGTGTGAGATGTGGAGTTGGAGACACAACTGTCAGTTTGTGTGTTTCAGTTGAATGTCTCAAGCTCAAAATTGGCACTTTTCCCTCCTCCACTGTTTTGTTTTACGGAAAAAGTAAGTCGACAAAAAAGGGCTCTTACCTTAGGATGGCCTCTTAGGGGATTTTATTTACACTTTTATATTCAGGCCCAAGTCACACTTACATTAAAAAAGATTCTGTTTCTACATCTTAAAAATGCCATAAGGGCTTTGTCAGCCCTTGTGCATCAATCAAACAGTGTTACTATGTATCCTTCCCCACATAATACAGGGGTTTTCAAATAGAACCTTGGAAATACTGGCCTCGGAAGATATGGGAAGAAACAGTGGGATATATTTTCTTTAATTTGAGCCTAGATGGATAGAACAAGGATCTTGTAGAGGATAGGGAGGAAGCTGTTGGTAAAATGGTATTTCTGTAAAAGACAGTTTTAACCACTAGTTTCAAAGTATCAGCTAGGTTGTGATCCAGGCGGCAGACGAATTTTAAAGCCTAAGTGAGAACCAGAGAATCATGCCGTGAGCTGTTGAAGCCTTAGCTCTGGCTTCGTTTTAATAACTGAAGCTGGTGTTATACTCATAGTTATCACATTCACAAGTACGCCAGCGTACATGTAACCTTTAATTTGATCACAAAGCTACTACACAGGAAGGGCACCAACTGTGCGGGCCTCCAAGAGGACTCAAAAGAAGTATAACTAGAAGTATAATGTAGGTTTTACTCTGAAGACATACTTTACATTTTGCTGTTGATATTTACATGTGCATTAGTAGCTCAGTTACAATAGGATTTCTGAAGTATCACTTTTTTTAATTACTTAAATGTTCCATTATGGAAATATCCCGATTTCACAATCCCTGAAAAGCTCTTATTCATATTATTATTATCATTTTGAGAAATACACTTTCTTAAACACGTTTTACACATTTTAAACCAGGATACTTATGCATGTATAGATCTTATCCTGGTTCCTGACCTCTGCTGACTATCTGCCCAGGCTTGGCTTCAGCCAAGTGATGAAGCATTAACACAAACAATGCTGGTTCCTCCTGCCTCGTGAACGGTTCAAGTGTGATGCACAGCCAGTAATAGGATCCACCACTCTTACAGTAATTTTCTCTCCATTCAGTGTCACTGAACCGTGCATCTTCATCCACTGTGTCTTGGTTCTGAGTGGTGGCAGTGACAGCACAACAGCCAAAGTGGAGGATGAGTTTAATATGTCGCTCTCATCTGTTTTTGCTGGAAATAAGGTGGATAAGTTGAATCTGCAACGCAATGTTTGCATTTAATAGAGCTAACCCTAGCCATCATACTGGAATCAAAATTTCGGGTAAGATGTCTTGTCGTAACCATGTATGCAAACAGCACACACTTACAAGTACCTGTGATAGGTTACCTGTGTTTATAATGTAAAAAAAACCAGAACACCAAAAGCCAGATCATCACGGTAGTAAGGTAGCTACTGAAATCTGAGATGTCCTTGCTTCCTGTGGGGTGATGCATCCCTCCATAAAAAATGTATGCGTCCCTCCAGAGATGTGACCGGCAGAAAATGTCCTTGACAGAAGAAATATCCATGCTGTGACCTTTTTAATTGAATTCTTGTGAGTCCTGTTGATCTCTTAAAAAAGCACTTAGTGACACACCGGTCTCAACAAAATAATAAAAAAACAAATGAAGGAATATGATCTGATGAGATGTGAAGCCTCCATCTCTCCCTGCGTCTGCACTGTCTAATGGCTGATAATGTAATTACATTTCCATCAGAGGGAGGCCTAATGATTGACTGTTGTGGAATGTGCTTGGTGCTTGTGAGATAAACCTCATAAAACACTCAGGGATTGGTTAGAGCTGTTGGATCAACACGTCTCCTTCTTGTGTTCACCTCATTCATAATGCTTCAGTATTACTATGCAGAAACATAGAAGACAATGCTTCAGTATTCTTTATTAAAGGTGTTGCAGACTACTGTGGAACCAGTGGACACCACCTGCTCTCCATACAGTCAATTTGTGTTAGTTTCAACTGGAACTGTGGTGGAAATTTTGTGGTGTGACTCAAGGTCGTCTGCAGTTATCAGACCCAAGCTTCCTAACAGTTTCTTCGTGCTGAAGAACTCTCCCCACGGTCTGAGAAACCTCAGCTCTGTGCTGTCCGAATCCTCACACAGCCTAATTGGCCTGTCTGTCTTGCCAGGGAGTCTAACCAGTAGGTGTGTGTGTGTGTGTCTCTTTGTGTATTTCCCTGCAGGTTTTGAGCTGCTGTATCAGCCGGAAGTGGTGAGGCTGTACCTGTCTCTGCTCACGGAGAGCCAGAACTACAACACCTTGGAGGCCGCTGCCGGGGCTCTGCAAAATCTCAGCGCTGGACAGTGGACTGTGAGTCTTGCAGGGTTGGGGAGGATACAACAATGTGGACACTGTCTGACTGTCGAGATTCTTATTTTGATTTTTTATTAATACATTGCACTGTGTTTGCTTCCATAGTCTCATCAATCGGACATGTTTGATCAATTCTAAACAAAAGTACCTGGACTCAAGTAGGATAAAAACAACAAGATCTGCCTGTAGAGGATCTTAGTCATTGCCACAAGGTGTAAATCCACTGTGTTTCTACAAACCATGGAGCAACTGTTAAAGCAAAAGTAAATTCAAGACACAGGCTCAAATGAGCCAGACAGCAGCTCACTCACATAGTAGCATCAAAAATCTATTGCCAGGATGGTTGAGGACTGAAAACCAAAGAAATGCTCTGCCAATATTAAAAGATCACAACAGCCAGATATCAGCGATGGAAAGCAATATTCTGACTGTTATTATGAATAAGAAATTATTTAGATTTTAAATTAGTTGGTAATAAAACATTCCATTTATATTCCTGTTTATGATTAATTAAGAAGTATGAGTTAGTCGGTAAGTTATATTATTTGAAATTGTCGTCACATCCCGATAGCCATCAATAAATACATTCGCCTGAAAAAAAATGCTCGTGTCCTCGCAGGACTGTAGTAAATGTCCAGTCGGAATGAAATGATCGGCTGGCGTACCTGTCCATCACTAGCTGACCTGCCTGCCCGTGCTCTCACTGCGCATGACCAGGGTCTTCAGCCGGAGAGACATACACCACTGATACAGCGATGATAGCCAGAGGTTCCTGAGGAAGCTTCTAGTAGTGGGCCGATGGGAGGGGGTGGGATGTATCGGTTGCAAATCATGGAATGAGAATAAAAAATAAATCTAGATGGATGTAGATACAATCTGTTTGTCTATAATGCAGTTCTTGGTTAGGGCCTCCCATCTGTCTGGGATTCCATAACTAGATAAAGGCTTGATAACTAATATACACCACACTCATCTCTTGCCTCTGATAATGGATAATGTGAGAACCTCTCCAGCCAGGTACAGACATTTATTCCAATTAGAGAGGCTGTGGAGTTGCTGAGACGCTGTCTGGCTCGCAGGCAACAGTGAATTATCAACAGGGAAAGTCGGTTGTCAGATGCGCAGCACCGTAGGCAAGAGCAGTCACTTATGTTTTTCAGCGTGCAGGCTATATTCAGCCCACAGCAGCATTATCGCGGTAGCGCTTCCCTTAACACCCATGTGTCAGACTGTAAACACATCCCTCAGCCGTGTGAATTCATCAGCAGCACCAGGCCTCGCTTGCTCAAACTCTTTGGATTTGTTTTCATGAGTTACCATCCAGCCCTGTGTCTCACATTTACTGTTGTGAATAATTCAAGAGTAGTGATTTCCAGCTAAGGTGAACATTTTTAAGGAAAAATCAGTCTCTTCCTCTTTTGATTTTTTTTCCATCCATGTTGAAGCTGATCAAAATTCTTGGCCCGGCTCAAGAACCTGCAGAGCCACTAACCCATCATCACACTGTCACATGTGCTGGCTGGACAAAGCATGTCCCTGCTGCTTGGGAGGATAGTGGAGCTTCTTCTTTTAATCCTCCTCATTCTTTGCTTTGGCTCCTATCGCAGGATTAAACTGTTTCCCAAGGCTTACCACTGCCACCTGGTGGTTCAGCTGTGCCTGTCCTCTGCTTAATTACATCTCTGGGGGCATCAGTACTTAGAGGGGAGACCCTTTTATGTAAAACTTAATGTTTCATGTTACAAAAAAATGAGAAGTAAAAATCTACTGATGTGTAAATTAAGACAAATTATGTCACATGTCCATTCAGAGCACCACTCTGTAATGTTGTGAATTAGTCAAGACCTAGGAGCAGAGCTGAGCTGCCTTGTAGTTGCAGAGTGAAGGAATAAAAAATAAAATGTACTCCCCTCACTGTTGCAGAGGTCACCTGGACTCCTCGAGTGGAGAGTGACTAGGCAGCTCCCAGTCTACATGAATGTCAAACAGGATGCCATGCGCTCGCTCAGCCTACACTTGAGGTGTAAGGTTGACGTTATTAAAAAGTCACAACATAACAGTCATTCTGCCCTCCAGTGGTCCAACTACATCCGAGCCACGGTGCGTAAGGAGAAGGGTCTTCCCATCCTGGTGGAGCTGCTGCGCTCTGACTCGGATAAGGTGGTCCGAGCTGTGGCCATCGCCCTGCGCAACCTGTCCATCGACCGCCGCAACAAGGACCTGATCGGTACGGACCATGAACCATTAATACAACACAAACATCAGAGATCGTTTTTGTTTCAAACTAACACAAATGCAGTGAATAGAAATGTGAAATGCCTGGTCTGTATGCATATACAAGTTTTTAGTCTGTACAAAGTGGTTTTTGCCATTTAGACACACATTCATACATTCATACATTCATACAGTGCAACTATGTGCAGCACTTTCTCCATCATACATATGTTAGCCATCAGGGGCAATTTGGGGTTCAATATCTTGCCATAGAAGATAAATCGAGGGATTGAAGCAGTTAATAAACGACCCACTGTTCTTCCTGAGCCACAGGGACAAAATCTGCTATTGTCATGTGGAAAGATGTACTTCAGCTTTAGCCCAGCCAAAACTCAAATGAGGCTAAGTTAGCCTATGAAAGTGGTAATCCTCCAGAGTTAATAAGTCTTTAATATAGTATTCTCCTGTTTTACTCTCTCCACCATGTTACATTTAATTCAAACCTCTTAAATCTCATATTAGTTTCACCCAAAATACATTTTTACATGAAGTATAGTGTTGCCTTGCACTGAAATTGCTTTAGGAATTAAGCAAAATAATGTACTTCACAAATTAGTTTGAATAATTAAGCCTATAAAACCATATTATCTCAGCCTATCTCACCTACTTTACAATATGTCACCTGACAGGAAGCTATGCCATGCGGGACTTGGTGAGCAACCTGCCCAGTGGTCAGCAGCGACCAGCTAAGAACCTGGAGGAGGACACTGTGGTCGCCATCCTCAACACCATCCACGAGATCGTCACCGACAGCTCGGAAAACGCCCGCTCCCTCATCCAGGCCCAGGCCATAGAGAAGCTGGTGGCCATCAACAGGACCAGGTAAGACTGTATTCAGTAGATTACATATTGTACCATAAGTGCAATCAACGCTTTACAACCATTTCTATGGTATAGAGGGATACATTGTCTTTGGATTAAAATACGATTTAAATGGATTTTTGGGGGGAATAAATGGCAGATTTTTACACATTAATTAACCCTATTGAACACTCAACACTGGCAGAACTCCTTTTTCTAAAAAAGTTGCTGAACAAATGCCTACTTCACCCAAATACTCACTGTGTCAAGTGAACTGTAGTTGATTGCCCTTTTTCTTGTAGCCCAGCATCCCCAGTGAATCTCCAACCTCTCACTTCATTATCATTTTTAAGAGGCTCGATGCCAAAATGCCTCTGGATAGACAATTGAATAGATGATCAGAGCAATAAAACATGTGATGTAGCAAATCAACAAACACTGTAAGTGCAGTTGTCGTTCTCTGTCAAACAATACTGTCTGCTTCATTTCTGTCAAAATGGCAGATTCAACACACATCTCCACATCAGCGACAAACATATTTGTTATGAGCGAAGATGCTTCAGCGGCGCTTCTATGTTTGTCATCATATCGAACCTGCCCCATTCTAGATAGAGTATTGTGATTGGATCCAGCAGTTTCAGGTTTGGCTCAGAATCAGGCCACAGTCACACATATGTGAATGTAGCTGTGACAACCCCCCCCATTTCACTTCCAATCCGTGTGAGTGAGGGGAAAAATAAAACATTCACTTTTTGTGGCGAAGCAAATCCGCAGCGTGGCCTCACATGGAGTTCAACTTTGGTGAACTTTGACAAATATTTGCTTCGCATTTGCACTAGTGTGACCGTGCCGTCTGTCTGAAAGGGTGAAGACGAATAAACCTGAGCTTATTGATTGGTCTGGTTTCCAGCCAGGCCACTTCCCTTGTGTGTTTTCACAGTAGTCACTCATATCACATACTGCAGGTCAGACAGTCTGTGTTACTGTCAGTGAACCAAACAGAAACAATGTGTTCAGATTCATGTACGCTGGGGCAGAAGTGTAGGATGGAGACATTATACATATACAGTACAGATAATTACAGTGTGACCTTGAAAGCAATTTGCATCATGAGCATTATATTAGTATTCATGAAGGATAATGAAGAGTGTTTCTAATGGGCCGAGCTCGACGACCACAATACCACACTCTAACAAGCCCGGGCCCACACACACCGCTACCCACCACACATTAATTAACAGGCTTTCAGAACTGGAGGGCATTGTTATACAGGGCGCCTCTGAAGCGGCTGCTTATACAAGTAAGTGATTAGTCATTCCTCAAAGTTCTCCTCAACAACGTGATAATGAAAACTAACAGACACTGTTTCGAGAGGTGTCTTATATTATCATAATGTTAGCCATTCCAGAGTGAAGTGAGGCTGCACAACAGCGCACTATTAATTTAAGATTAAGAGCACTTTTCAAAGGCTCGTCACTTTATAGTAAAGTATTAATCATACTGAGTCGGTTTAACTAGCAGGAATATACATAGTTCATCCACAGTCCAAAGAGCTGTGGTTTGTCTCAGATGATCTCTATGAGATCAACGTACTTTGAAGTGAGCCCCCACCCCCCATGTAATTAATACTGGTGGCTCAGAGGTAGCTAATGAAGGGAAATATACGCTCATCTGGCTGTGAATTAAAAACTAGACCCTGGAGCCACTCAGGGGACTTAAAGGCTTTGAATAAAGAGATTGATAGCAGGAGCTGCAGCGTGCTACTATCACTCACTCAGACATCAGAGTTTCAGGGGGTAGATGGGGCATCTGATTTGAATTGCTTTAGTTATTCCTCCATTCATTTCTAATCTTTTGTGTTTTTTTCAAGCCAATCGGCTCGTGAAACAAAGGCGGCATCCCATGTGCTGCAGACCGTGTGGAGTTATAAGGAGCTGAGAAACGCTTTGACTAAGGACGGCTGGAACAAGAGCCACTTCCAGGTAACTGGGCTCTCGCGGAGGATTGTTGTTGACATATTTGTTGATCTTAAACATTTTAATTGTGATTTCAGGCCCATGAAATATTATTTTTGGGAAGAGTCATTTCTCTATTACAGTAATGGAGGTTCCCAATAAGACAATATGACAAAGATTATATGTTGTATCACTGGGTAAAATACTTATAGATCAGTCTCCATTGACACATTGTAACTACAGCATGTGTATGGAACAAGGTGATAAACACATACAGCTCCATGATGTTTACATGTGGTTTGCTCTGTCGCTTCCCTCAGCCCACAGTGACAACCACTCCTAAAGCAATCAAGAACGGCAAACCAGGATATGACGACACCACTCTACCCCTGATGGAGAAGAACCAAGGTCAGTTCAAGTGTGTGTGTTGGTTGTGGTTTGTCTAGAGGACAAATGGGTGGGATGAGGTAGAAAAAACCATGGAGACCCTTAACAGAACAAGGAACAAAATAAATGCACAAATGAACTATTAGAAAATAATTTAAAATATAAGGCTGAAGGCTGGTAATTTAAGTTATTATCAACAAATCCCATTAAAATACCAAAACCTTTCAGTACTTTTCAACTTCACTGCCCTGTCTCTTGTACCAAATAGCACGAAAACATTTATTTCCTACTTAACACATTTTTGAATCATGAACATTCGATTTCACTTTTTAAAAATACTATTTGCAAATGTTATTCAAACTGAGTGTTTTTGCTGGAAAATTTTCATTAGTGGATGAATATTCATTGTTATATTTTCGAAAGCAGTGTGGTATATGTGGAACTAATTAAAAAGTACAGTCCTCCTCACATAAATAATGGCTTTTTCTTTGTTGGCAGCAGATACAAATAAAATATATCAGACTACACACAGTTTTAGTTTAAAAATGTTTTTTTATTGACAATTATAAAAATGTGACTATACTTGAGTAATATGCAGGTTTACACATGATATAAACCACCTGCATTTTGTAGTCCTGACATTTTCCTGACATGTAGTCTCCCACCTGTATTGTGCTTTTTAAACAAAATACCATCCGATACTATAAAATAGCATTTCAGCTCAGTGTGTGCCTGGTTGCTGAGGACATTAATGTTTTACATTGAAGCATCATGCTTACCACATTATAACTCTGTTGTGGTGTGGTGTTTTATATGTTGCAACAAAGCCATTCGAAATGAGTTAAAAACAAAGCTCATTAAAAGGGAGATGGAGTTTGGAGTGTCATATTGCTGCTGTTAAACTGAAAACCTGTCCCTCTCAGAAAGTCTACGAACACAAAGAAATGGGTTTTTTTTATATTCTTGGGTTTTGAATTGATGTAATAAGGTCAGGGATGATGAGATGTTCTCCTCCCGCATGCACTGAAAGACTCTATAGCTGTATCCACAAAAAAGAATGGGTTAGAGGTTTTCTAGAACAGCAGCAGTATGTGTGGGGGAGAGAGAGAGGGAGGGAGGGAGACTTGTGCAGAACGTTGGCCCAACAACAAACATCTCTTCAACAGAGGAGTCTGTAGCATAGCAGCAAATTTCTGTCCTGACTTTTTGGCTGCTCAATTTTTTTTTTTGCATCCATACACGCATGCAGCACTCATGCCTGCCCGCTCTCAGTTTGTGTTACTCAATCACTGGCTGAGAACCATTAGCCTGAAAAGTAGCAGCAGTTTTGGCTCAGTGACTCAGTGTATGTGTGTGTGAGTGTGTGAGTGCCGCTTTTGAACAAATGGCATATGAATGCTTTTCAGGCACCAGGAAATGTGGCAGTGGTGATATGATACCTATGGATGAGCTGGGTCCAGGTAAGAGCCAGACTGCATGATTGTCCTCAGCCAAAGACGAGCTCTCTCTCCTCTAATCTGTCTCCAGTGTCCCATAGATTCCACATCTCTTCCACTAGTCCCTCAACCGTGGCCAATATTTTTTTTTTTCTTAAATGTGAAAATTCAAACCTCTGAACGCTCTAATCTTGGTATGATGGCTTTGGACTGAGCTTCAGACAAGAAGCTCTTTGATGCTGCGTGCAAGACCCCTCTCTCGACAAGATGTTTGTACAAATCTGGGCCTTCATTAGAAGCTTGACACCAAAAGATGTGGGTGGTACATATAATACATAATGAATACATGCTCAGTGTATCAGAGGACACGTTTCCTCTGCTGTACTCACTTCAGAGTAAATGGTTCTGCTCCAAAAAATATTACATCTGCAACTCTGACAGTCTTTTCGTCATGTGAACAAACTCAATCCTCTTGTGACTCATTTGGAAAGACTGAAGAAGAGTTTTTGCCATGAAGAAATAACCCTTTAGAGGTATGTTTTATTTTATCCATTAGGATATGAATCAAGCATCCAACACTCTGAGACTGAAACTAGAACTAAAAACATTGATTAAAATATTGCTGATGATTTCCAGGATTTAACGTTTTAAACATTGTCTCTTGTTTTCCCAGCGAATATTTCACGGATCATGATGAAAAAAACGGCAGATTTAGGGAACCGATATCCACGAGTGTGTGACATTTGTTGCAGCTTGATTGAGTTTGAGGGGACTGTTTGGCCTTGACAGGAGTTTGTGCTCTACTGAGTTCCATTCTACTCAGAATGTTTTTTTACAGCTACTTTTAACAAGTAGAAGCATTACTCCGAGGACAGTGTGACACAAAGTAGAGACTGTGATAATGAAGTTTAGTTTTCTGACAGCTGGTGATCAAGATTCAAAATTGCTTGATGTATATCAACAAATAATGAAGGTAACTAATTGTTCTAGGTTTTGTATGAAAAAATAAAAATCTCATAATGATATAACTGTGGACGTAGAGTAGATACTGGAAGCCACTTGTGCAGCTTAATAAATGTATATACAAATTAAAAGATAAGACCTTCAGTGTACCAGACATCCCTTTCCAATCACACTGTTTACTTCAGCATATATGCATTGTTCCGCTATGAGCAGTTTTAATGAATAAATGAATGAAATAATGAATAGATAACCTTGTGATTTGTATGAATGTACTTTATGCTGAGTGGTGCAGAAGGGATTGAATCTGTGCATTTATCTGAGGAACTGAATGAATGTTCAAAGTTGGATTTGTAGCTGCTGAAACTGGTAAACTTAAACAAATTGTTACTGTTGCAAAGAAACATTTTTCTTTTACGTCTCAACAAAAGGTTAGTCAAATTATCTTGACATCACCAGTCATGAGCGTTCCTGAATATCGACAATAGAAGTTAGAAGAAATGTTCTCGGCTGAACTCGCATAAATACATTATACATCCCTTTCCACAGATTGCCTTCTCTGAAATGCTTGATAAATAGTGGCCCTGAGCCACAATATGTGAGAGCTCATTTTTTGAGACAGTTATGAGGGCAGGGTCAAATACCACTTGCAGGGAAGTGGTAAAAAAACATGTGAGTGCCAGAAAGATAAAAATGGGCAGTAAGTATGAATGTTGAGGCATTTTTAGTTTATTTTTCTGTGCTCAATGACTTATCTGGCTCTGTGGTGAATAATCAGTAAAACGTTCTGCCGTTCAATACAGGTGAGAAACACTTCAAAGTATAAAAAATGTCTTTGATTCATTATGAAATTGTCGTAGGCCAGTGGATGTCAGTTGAGAATGTGGACTGTGTTCACGCTGCTAAAAGAATGTAGCCACATGCATCCCACCACCTCCTGGACTCCATTCAGCCTGAATATTAAAGGGATAGTTCACCAAAAAATTTAAATTCACCCACAAAATTACCTACTAACTAATATGCTAATAGAAAAACTTTGTACAGCAGAATCCAATACAATTGAAGTGAATGTTGAGCTTCAATTCAGACGTAATAAAACAACAGAAAAAACTGTTTGTGTGGTGTCTGCAAGCCCAGATATTTATATTCGACTTGAAACGAGGTCATTTACAAGTTTTAAGCCTAAATGTCTGCTGATCTCTTCGCTAAGAGGTGTGTTTATGGACCCTCGGACACAACATCGTGTGGCTACATCTACCAGCTTAGCCACTTCCTGTAGGCTTAAAACACAGTGTAAATGACCTTGTTTCGAGAAGAATATGAAGTGTAAGTCACCACTGACTAATTTACCCCCTGAGACACCAGAAGTGTTTTGTGGACTCAAACACTTCACCCACCCCTCCATCAGCTTAGTGGTGAGTAGATAATCATTGAATTTCTGTTTTCCGGTGAACTATCCCTTTAACATCGTCTTTAGAGACCCATCACAAAAGCCACATACAGAGGTGGTCTGGGCCCAGTCTATGTCTGGGTCGCATGTGAAGGACATATGAAGGACCACCGACTAAGCTAGCCATACATTATTTGGTCTTTGCGAACAGGAATGTCTTGTATGTTTATGTGCATACGTAAGTCAGGAAGTAAGATCACAAGTGGACACAGGAGACACATTCAGGACACATTTCAAGGTGTGAATAGATGAACCTGACCGCTGCGCTGAGCACTTTGATCGAATCACTCAGGAAGGATGTTAATACCAGGTCTGAACAGAGGCCATGAATTATCAAGGATGCAGAAGAATTAACTGAATATTGTTCTCTAACCTCATTAGATGGCTACTCCACCATTGACCAGAGGGACAAGGACTGCAAATACAAGGCAGTTGACAGCTCAGTGGACCTGACAGAACAGGAGCCATTAAAGGTACACTCACACCACATCCTGCTCTCCTGGGAGGATCCGGGGTGAAATGATGTATCATTGAAATATTATCACTTCCTACCCTGTTGTACTGTATCTCTCTTTTCTGTGGTGGTTCTTATTAGAAAGTGTTAATCCTATAGATTATTTAAATAGGCAGGAAATTGTCATTCTGTAATGTCGCCGGCCGCAGCTCAGCACTGTGGCCAGCCTCAGATCTGTGGGCCACCAGATAATTGAGTGTACACTTTTGGCATCTCTAAATCAATTAATCTGCGACTGATTAAAGAAACGCTAACAAGCGCTCCTCGTGGAGAGGACCTTTCCTTGGCAATGGTAAGACTGCTGCATTATCAGGTGGTTGTCTTCTGATTTCACGGCGGACTCACACGGCAGCAGAAGATTGTTTATTGTGGAGCTGTTTGGAAATCCACCCTCAAAAGGAGGTGGTATATTTGATCTGTGTGAGTGTGAGTGTGAGTGTGACATGATATGATTTTAAAATAACTACAACAAAGAGTCATAGTTAGCAGATGTCAAGATACATGGTCATATACAGTATCTGTTTCTCCGTGAAGGTTAAAACTGCCTTAAAAATCTTCCAGAGGCCAAATTTGGGAAATCGTATATTGATCTGCGGTGTCTGGTATTTTTTCTATTAAAATAATTTGCCGTTGGTATGCAGTTGTTCATGTTTTACTAAAACTCTGGTGTAGTTCGATTTTGATTGATTAGGTTTAATATAAAAGTAGTGTCACAGTGTTGATTTAAATGGTCAGAGAAAAAAATTTACAATTCATTATTTCATTGTTGATTTTTATTTGAACAAATTCTATTTGACTTGTTGTCATAATAGCTGTTTGTGTTTAGCAAAGTTAAATGGAATTATAAGGCTGCTTCAACTATAACAACTCTTCAATTATCTGCTTTCATTTATTAATCATAACATCTATATTTATATATGGTGTATTCATACTTAAAGATCTGGATTGGAGGCATCTTATTTCCAAATCAGAGAATTCAAGAGGATTCTGCTCACAGGTGTTCATTTGTAAAAACTTGCAATATAACTTACGAAACTGAAACATCTTGATCTGTAAATTTTTTAATTTTTCAGTTTCACATGTCTTATAGCTGTTCAAAAGGTTTTTACACCAGAGTTTAGACAAACCGAAGATAAAATAAAGCAGCTTACGTTAGAAAAGTAGCAGTTTCACTATTCCCTGGCGACCTTAATAATCTGTTTTTCTTTGTATTTTACTCTTCATTATATTTAGTTAAACTACTAAACCAGTCAGAGCTAAAGTTAAACTGTCCCTTCTTGTGAGGGCAGACGCTTTAACCAGCGCTGAAGCCACTGACCGGAGTAATCACAGCATGTTTGTGTTCAGATTGTACAGTGCTGTGTGTAGTGTTACTCCAGAGCTGTCCTCTAAATCTGCCGTCTGTACTTCCCGGAGTTGTACTGCCCGCTTTGAATGCAGCTTGGCTGTGAAACTGCTCTCTTCCTCTTTCATTTGCATGTGTTGTTATGCTGTTTTGTAATCACTATGACTTCTTTCCCAGCTCACCTCAAGGCAGGGAACTAACACTGGCTTCTCTGATCCTGGACGCATGTGTATGTGTGAGTGGGTGTGTGAGTGTATTTCTGAAATGTATTGACCTCTTTTTGTTTTGCTTTGTGTTTTTTGTAACCCGTCCTCCTGTGACCACAGAATGACACAAATAGGAAACACTATATCAGGAGTAACAGGCCTGCGGTCAGTCTGGTGGACGCTTGTGATGTTAAGCCCCAGCCTGTTGACTCCTGGGTCTAAATGCATGCATGGTAGGTCTGGAAAAATAAAAGCACATCAAAAAAATAACACCCTTCACCCTTTGAGTTGGATCGTAGCACCCTGTATCATCCCCTGTTTGTTCATGGCTCCCTCCTGTTTTCCTCTCATCCTCAAACTGTATCACGTAGACCTGCTGTCACCCTGCACCCAGAGCAGTCAGTTTACACACAGTGCAATCGAAAAGAAATTGTGTTCTTATGTAGAATTTCATGTTCATACTGTATTTAAACTCGTAATATTTGCATAAACTTGCATGTCTAGATTGAAGGAAATGTCATGTTCCAAACAAATTAAATTACAAGATTGTTCTCAAAAAAAGAATGTCTTAAACCACAAGTAATTACAACCTGATGTTGTGTCAGTGTAACAGAATGTCAGGGTGGTTTTTAATTAAAATGAAACTTATTTGTTTAAATCTAATTGACAGTTTACTAAACTTTTCCCTCAAACAGGAATTCCAGGCATAGCTTAGCAACAGTCACCAGCCGTTCACAGCGTGTAGTCACAGCATGTGTTCACAGCTTGTGTTCACAGCTTGTGTACCTGCTAAAGTTTAAGCTGCAGTCAATGACATGCACATCCATTGTTGTTGCCTTCATCTGGAACTTGTGAGCTTGTGGTTACAACATTAAAAGTCACGGAGGCTGCAGAGGCTTACAGTTTAGCAAGCTAGCAGGCAGGTAACGTAATGTAAGAACAGAGGGTAAGATGAGGAAAGATTGGAAATATCAATATTTTCTTCAGATGTAATTTAAAATTACAAAGACAAACTCTGTGGGACTAAAATTACAATATCAAATTCAGAATCAGAATCTACTATAATGGCCAAATCTTTTTCCATTACGAGGAATTTGACTCAGTGTACTGACAAATAGACGTACAGGTAGTCAAACAAATAAATAAATACTGGATAAATATGCATATGTTGGATGTATAGTTTACACAGTAGTAGTATTTATATTGATAAGTATGTACAGCCATTGATGAACTACGAGTTTTTAGAAAGTTCTGTGAATACCACAAGAGAGGGGATTCATATGGACTCTTCTTCAAAATCACAACAGACACGACATCATGTATTCTCTGCATGGAAGGTGCTGGCTGGAATCAGAATTTAGGCTTCACAAACACTCACACAGCTTGTAACATTAAAAATGAATGTTTAAGTTTAATACTTAAACTTACTAGCTCTAGACTGCAATAAGAGAACAAGGTTTTTCTTTATTTATGTCTCTGCATGGATGATCCCCGAGGATGCTGACTATGTCCTGGCACTCTTTCCTGGCACATGCAGCTTTATCCTGTCTTTTATCATTTTGACCCCTTTTTATTATATTCTTTCATTAAAATGGGTCAGGGGAAAATACAATAAAAGTTCTCATCGTAATTTTTAAATGACTCCTGGAATCAAACTGTAGTTTCATTAGCTAGCAAAGGTTTAGTTGAATTTTAGCCGTGGTAGCTGTCGTAAAAATGTGAAGTCTAAAATCTGTTATGATTATAGTCAGTGAGCTACGAAGGCATAGCAACAGTTACTAAGGGAGGCTGGGGTTAGTGTAGAGTCAGTTTATGCTCCAAGCTTTTGTCACTGCAACATCCAAACTCATCAACAAGCCATTGAAAGAGGAAAAAAAACAAAAGCCATTTGACTTCTCTCCTCTGCAATACATGAAATCAGCAGCAAGGCCTTGGTCTGTGTTTACAATTCAGCTCCACCTGTCTGATTAAAATGTGCACGTAGCTTCACCCGCTGCCTTCCCTGACAGCCCTTACTGAAATCGTGGCCAATGATGAAGGAGAATCAATCCTCTGCTCTCTACATGGATGCTGCAGAGACTCTGTTCCCTTAATGAAAAGCAGGAGGGAGAAAGAAAAGGACACACACACACACACACACACACACTGTAGGTACATATACACATTCTCCTCTACATTGTTGTAGACACCAGTCCTTCATTTCCTGGGTCAAAGCAATATGATCTCAGATTAATAATTCATATAAGATGATTGAAGCTGACATTTACTGTATAACAGCAGCACACACACACTCACACACTGTTACGTGAATTCATGAGCTGACATGAATTCAATTAACATACATTTTGAGTTCTGAAGCAGTCCATTTAAATATGTTCTATTTAAATTCATGGTATCAAATCACCAAGTGGATTCTTATGTAACTTAGATGCTCCAGTTATGTCATGGAAAGAAAGAAATATATCTTCTCTGTGTCTTTTTTTAGTTTTAGATAGAATCAAGTGCATTTCTGCAGAGAGATTGAATCAGTTTCAGTGAATAGAGCTCAAATTAAAAATACTAAAATCTATGATAAAGACTTTCTGTTGATACAGTTTTTCTCCAGTAAAGATAACATTCTGTTAGAGAATCTTTCTGCCACCCAGAGCAGGTGAATATTTCTTAAGATGCTTTCAGACATGCACTGAACTCCTGATAATCTCCTGACATTCTCCGGAGGGGCTGTATGTGAGAACGCAAATGTCATAAGGAGAAACTCTGGGCATTCTCCAGCCCCCTAGTGAAAAGTCTGTGTCGCTCATGTGAGAACACAGCAGGAGACAGAGTGGATGTGTTGATGACGTTGCTAACACACGACAGAGGCAAAAATGAACAAAACAAAAAAGCACAAACATCTCAGGATGAGCGGTGACATACACGTAAAGAGAGACATAGATGTCAAGAGAGCTTTTGTTGATAAGAGTGTCAATGTGCTGTATTACAAAAATTAGATCTCTGCTGCAGAAGAAATACGTTACATTGTTCCTCTACCTGCTGCACCCCCCCCCTCACCTGAACCCTCTGGAGATTTCTGTGTTTACGTGAATGCGACTGAGCAGAGAACCTCCTGCTGCACTCACGTGTGAAAGACAAACTCCGGAGGAAGGCTGGACCTAATTGTTCGAACATTCTCCAGAGTACATGTATGAAAATTGTAGTTTTCCTCAATTTATCATGTTCTGTCACATGTAAAGTGGTAGAAATTACAACTCATCTAAAACAATCTAAATTACTTATGTCCTCATAGCTGTACATATATTCTGTACAGTGCATTACTGACTGTTGTTGGTGCTTGAATGACTTCCCAAACCTGACCCACTATTAACTGTCCAACTAATTGACGTGTGCAGGGCTGCCAAATGATCTGGGTGAGCTTCAGTATTTGTCATTGTTGTATCAGCAGCATCTCCCTCTCTTCCTGCCTCCTCCTCCTCACCACTGTGCCAGAGGCCTTCTGTCATCTTCCTCTCTCAGTCATCTTTGTCAGGAGCCATCTGTTCCATTCTTTCATCTCCATCTATTACATGATCACAGGATGACTCTTGAGAGATCAGATTACTTTTGGTATTCATTGTGATTTTGCCACTTCAGTCAGAAAAAGCCAGGTACAGGTAATAGTGAGAATGAAACATCAGGTAAGTCATTCTCACTTAGCACATGCAGGATTTCATCTAGCACACTCAGCAGCATCTGTTTCATCGTCTTTTGCCTCCATTTGCCATCTGTACTGTCATGATTAAAGTGTTTGTTGACACTGACGAGATTTGTCAAGTGGTGTGATAATGTCGAGTGATTGTCTATCCCTGTTACATAAGCAGAATTAAACTGGTGAGTTTCATTCCAAATCCACTAATGGCAAAATGTGATGCCAAGTCTGAGAAATGACAGTTTTTATGACATTTCAAGGGATGTAGCTCATTTTTCTTTTGTCAACAAATCCCATGAAAAGACCAAAACCAACAAGTATTGTCTGTGGAACCAAAAAAACAACTTTACCAACAAACATACAAGTGTTGTGATTATGTGCAGTTAAAATAGAGTCCAAATATACATTACTGACCACAGCTGGAGTAATTTATATCTTTTTAATATGTAAGAGGAAAAAATTGTAACGCAAATATTGCCTTTCTGTGTTGTACCTCCTGTGGCCACGTGGTGGCAGCACAGCAAGCTGTTACAAGAACACTGAAGCATTGTCCCCAAAGACATTTTTATTTAGAATATACGACAAGATGTTGAATATCTCTTTTACTTAGTACAACTGAGTACGACAAGTAGAACTTATATGACACAACAAATAAACTGTAGAGAAGCTGTTAATAGATAGTATTAATAGATCCTCCACATACAGAGGGACAGGCATTTGAAGTCCTGCTTCTGACCAGCTGCTAAATGTAAATCCAAACCAAACCATTCACTCCCTAAGCTCTGTGTTGGTCTTTACCCACTCATGGGGAGAATAGCTGGTCCTTCAGCTGCTAAGTGCTCTGCTCCAGGTAGAATACACTGGTTTGAACAGTATGTGGAAACAAGGTTGACAAGAGCAGTTGGAACCAAAAACTTGGGGACCAGAAAACCAAAACAAAGAGCTGAAAGATGTTTAAACGCTCCTGAGAACCGAGCCGAGCTGCAGTCGGTTATCATAAAGTTTTATGTATTCAGAGGAAACAAATGGGTCTGGGGATGAATGCCACAATAAGGGTAGGTACATTTTGAAGGTTAATAAGTGTTGAGACATTATTTCTTTTTCTGATGTTGATCTTTTCATGGAATTTGTAAAAAGTATTTCCTCCTTAATCATTTAAGTTGCCACACAGTGTTTGTGTCATTATTTGTAATTCGGGATGTCATGTCAAGTGTTATTGTAAATTCAAAAGATGCTTCTTCTAATATGTTTCTATCTTGTCCGTGTGCTTCAGGCTTAAAATGAGAATGGAGCGACACCCCCATCTCGAGGAGGATCTCTCATATCACCACTGCCATTTCACATGGAGCTTACCTTTGAAGTTGGACTTTGTACAGAAAAGAGGATTCGAAAAAAAAAAAAAAATAATGATCACAACAGCGACTACCCAGCAGCAGCCAGCATTCTCATGCTTTTCAGAGAACATTTTTAAAAGAAGAAAAAGTGACTACTCCTACTACTTTCTCATATCTACATTCCCACTGGGTATCGTGTGAACTTTTACAGTGTTGACTCTCGCTGAGCTTTACTGGTGAACAGAAACAGACAGAGGCCGGTGCTGGAGGACTGGAAATGTAGCAGGTCGACGACGTGAAATGAAGGAAATGAATTGTGAAACAAATGATGAGATGGACGGAGGTCTGTAGGAGAAGAGATGGAAAAAGGATGTTTTTAATTTCAGTTTTCACATCTGAGAAGATTGTGTCCTGAATTTTGTGGGTTTTGAAGAATAATCAGTTTGTTATGGAGCATTGGTATTTGGATGTGAGACAGGTTTGGATTGGTGTGTTTGAAGGTCACTGAATGTTTGTTTTCAGAACGGTGGGATGGACACGAGAGAGGAAAAGGAAAATGAGAGAGAGAGCCTGAAAAGAGATGTAGCATAGTGGATAAACATGTGCTCCCAGCAGCCTGCTCTCATAGATTTACAATCCATTTGGTTCACTGTGTTTTTTCAAAAAACAAAAAAGAGAAAAAAAATGCGCTGAGAGGCTTTGAAATCAAACATGGTTAACATGTGATTGATTTTATAAAATGAAGAGTCTGAGGAGAAGTTGCGGTTTGGAGAAAGGAAAGTGACAATGTGTGTTCAACTGACGGAGAAACAGTTTTTGTTAACACTGCAAACATGAGCTAAAATGGAGAGACCTTCTGTTTCATTGTGGTCAACATGTATGAGCCAGTGACATGTTGACCTTCACTCACAGAGCTGCGGTTACTTGTGTAACCGCTCACGTCCTGAAGCAACGTGGTACGTGGAGTTTCCTGGTCACTTGCTCTTTGTCAATGATGTGTATTAAAGAGGATATAAGGCATTTTTGTTTATAAATGATTTGTGTTTTTGAAAAGAGAGACAGAGGATTGTTCTCTTGTTGAAAGGATAGAGCGAAAAGATTCTTTTTTGGTTGGTTTTATGTAAATGTATATTAGGGTCAAAACAAAAAAAATGGTAAAATGAAGAAAAAAAAACAAACAAAAAATGGTGGACTTCTTAGTTGTATGTTAATATCACATTGTTTGGAAAGCACATCTCATTTGATAAAGGCTCACCATGTTTGTAAGCAAGAAATAACCACGTAACTTAAATGTGTGTCAAATATTGTCGAGTTACGCCGACGATCACCTATTTATATTTTGTATTTGTCAAAAAAAAAAGGTTACAGAGAAAATAAGTTTAACTGCAGTGTTCTTTCTAAAGGCGAATACATATGTCAAAGCAGACGCTATGGAGGGGTCAGACAGGAAATAAGACAAGACAAGAGGTGGCAGTGTTAAGAAAAGTCCCTTCATTTTTCTTTCCGATGCATTCAGACCAAGTTACCACCGGCCCTCAATCCTTCTTCACACGTGCATCTTAAAGAGAAATATTCAGTCGTGAGCATGAAGAAAATCTGTACAGATGTTTATATTATGTTCTTTCCAAGTGCCAGTTTTTTTGTGGTGTCATTTGGATATTAACTAATTCATTCGTGTGCAGGAAGAGAGTACAGACGAACGAGTGGATCTGGATTTTCTGGGCAAAATTTAAAAAAAAAGGTTGCATCACACTGTATAAATTAAAACGTCGAGTTTGGTCATAAAGTATATATTTTTACAACGCTATAGGGTGAGCAGTGGAGATGCAGAAAAGCAGAGATATACAGAAACGTATTGCCATTTTTTTCTCTCGCTTGATGAGGCTGCACTCGAACTCCAGTGGTTACGTGTACGCTCTCGTCTCCAGCTTGAACAGGAGACAGAAAAACAAGAGTCCAATCCAAGTTGGTATCACTCATGCGTCATCGAGTTGAACGGCATGTGCCTGCATTGAAGTCTGATTTTTCTTTGTGACGTATGTGACTTTATAAAGCTTGCATATTTTACACAGTGTTTACAAAGATGTACGTTGTGGTAAATATCAATAAACTACAAAAAAAAACTTACTGTTTAGATTTTAATTTCAGAGGTTACAAATAGTTATGATACCCAGCGACCCTTTCGTGTGTCCTCAGAAGTGTGTGCTCTCATTGGACAATACTGAACCCTCACAACATTATAGACCCACATGACTGTCTATTCCTGACTGCACTAAGCGGTACCACAACCAAAGGATCCGGAGGTGTATTTGCATGCATTCAAAATAGAAATTAAAAAAATGTGGTTTTGTGGATGTGCAGCACATTGTACATTTGCAAAATTAAAAATCTAGGCAACTGTGCTGTAAAATAAAAGCTGGACACGGACACCCATGGAATCAAAGAAATCTACCTGTGTAGATACCTGATTCAAGATCGATCAAAACAAAGTAACTGTACTACTCAGTAGCAGATGTGTTTGTACCTATCATGTGCCTTAACCTTTTCCATGGTATATAAAGATAAGTGTGTTTTATATAACTTTTTTCCCCCTCTCAGCTTTCATCTCTCCATCACCTCTCCCCCTTTCTCCACCTGTGTCAACCCCCCTCCCCCCTTTTCCCCCCACTCAACTGAACTCACTCATTCATCGTTTGTCCTGCCACCCCCCCACCCCCCTCCCCCAAATTCTGAGTAGTTTAGACTGTTGGTGGGTTTCTGCCTTGTATGACATTGTATTATAAACTTTTAAAAGAGATAGAGTCATTAAAAAAAATGGTTTTGATTTCCTAGAGGAGTGAAGTTGTTAATGCTTTGGTAGCGATCAGAAGCTATGCCACAGTGACAGAATGTATTATGTTCATTTTACTAATACCCAGAGGCAAATATTACGCTTGTTAAACATAACGGAAAAATACTGGTTTGTAGAGTATAAATTTGGTGTGTTTTCAATAAATCATGCCTGGAAAGAAACTGTTGCCTGCCCCTGTGTCTTATTTTATTAAGTTCCTATTGAGACTCAAGGTCATTATAGCGCCTGCTAGAGTCTACACTTTTAATGACAAGCAGCTGCAGAAGGATCAGCCCACCCAAAGTACAAAAGTGAAACTGTGTTTATTTGTGGTGTTCACAGTAAACTGTTCATATTAGAGGTTTTATTCAACCTCCAGGCACTAAATGGAAAATAAATTGATTATAATAACATTTTCGTATATGTTCTATTTTATGCATATAAATGTGTATTGAATATCATGGGTTTTCAAAGATATTAATTGAAATAGTATCAAACAACCTAATGAAAATGTGGAGTTTTTAGACGATGACCTATGACCCTGTATGACTTTGTGAGGCATTTCTGTTCAGGCACATATGTAAGCACCACCTCACTGTCTGGGGTCCTCTCACAATAACAACATGGCTGCCTTGTGCAGAGGCAGACACCGGTGGAAAAGGACTGAGTGTTTTCATGTGTTGACAAGGACACTGACAGGTAAAACGACAGGCTGCCGTGTTCTGATATTATCTGTAGGAACAGAGACCTCACCGGGCTCAGGTTAGATAAACGGAGGTGTTGCTGTTAGCACGCAGCTAACTCACAGCAGCAGCTCCTGCTAACTGTCTGTTATATCATGTCCGTTCATGAAAACACCTGATGTCACAAATGAAACGCGTCTTTCTCCTCTGTGTGGTTGGACTGTCAGCTGACGTCAACCGCTGCTGAAGTCCTTCAAAATAAACATGTCGCAGATGCTGCTTCCAGGTGTTTGTCCGTAGACCTGCTGCTCATTAAACCCTAGAGACTTGTGTGTGAAGGTCCCACAGATCATCAGGTTCAGACTAATAACCAGCCTGTCTGGCTCCAACCATCGTGGCACTCAGATCTCCGATGTTGCTGCTTGCTCCTGACCTGAATCTGCAGGATGCATGATACCTTGCATCAGTGTGACATGACTGGCTGATTGAGTGATGCCTTTATTGTCATTGAACAGGGTGTACAATGAAGTTCAATTCAGTTTCAATTCAAAGCTTTATTGTCAATCAGCAGGTGCTTAGGTGTTGCTAATAAACTGCTCAGTGTGTGTACAGGTCATACTTACATATGATCAGCAGACCAACAAACTACCCCAGCTCAAACCAAACATCTACTGGTGGAATAATATGGTGGGAATAACGTGAGAATCTATTGTTTAAGGACAAGTGTTACTTTAGGTTATAACACGTGAGGAAACCTTCTGAAAGTGTTAGTCTTGCTCGGTTATTGTGTAATATCGCTCTGTAGTTAGATCATATTAAATAGCCATATGTTTGCATGGTGTGGATTTTTCGTCACTGAAAACAATATTCGATAGTAAAAAATCTCAAATACCCATATCATGATTCCTAAGGTGTTGTTATCAATATATTATTTTAACTATAAACATATTGTAAATAATAACAGCAGATAGTAATATGTCTGTGAAGTGCTCATATCAGCCTACTGATCAAACGGTCAGGCTCTAGTTTAGTGATCCACTCCTCCCAAAGGAGAGAGGCAAATAAAAATGTGCATGTGTCCTATATGCAGCAGTAATTGGTTAATTATTTATTATTGACATCATTTCTAATTGTTAATAATCATCCATTATTCTCATATAGAGAGGTCTGACTATGACCTGGTGGTTATCGGTGGGGGTTCTGGAGGGCTTGCCTGCTCCAAAGAAGGTGATGTCTCCCATTCCCGTTATTTCTTAATGTTCAGGTATCTGTGTCTCCCTGTGCACTATGCACAGTCAATTTTTATAACATATATATTATGACATATCCACTGTTTACAGCGGCACAGTTGGGACAGAGAGTTGCTGTTCTAGATTATGTGGAGCCATCTGTAAAAGGTAAAATTGAATCTGTTGTTGTAGTTAATAACAAAATTTAAGTTAAAAAATTTTAACAGGTCATTAAGTCCTTTGGAAATACTTTTTGAAATAGGTACCAAGTGGGGTCTTGGTGGAACGTGCGTTAACGTTGGCTGCATTCCTAAGAAGCTGATGCACCAGGCCGCTCTGCTTGGCACTGCAGTAAAAGATGCTAAGAAGTACGGCTGGCAGATCACAGGCCCAGTGTGCCATGACTGGTGAGTCTAACTCAAGTTCAACGTGATGCATCTTAATGTTTCTTCAGCTAAAAGGGAGAAGTCATCATCATTGTGAAATTCTATTTTTTTAAATTCTAATATCTGAGAATGAATAGCTGAGCAGCACCATCTAGTGACAGCACCACAGTAATACAGCGTCCATGGTAGAAAATGAGTGAGATTACGTTGTGCTGCAGGGACACACAGTCTTCTACATAGTTTTCCATTCTGTTGGAAAACAACATACATTGAATTGGATGTTCTTTTCTAAGAATAAAAGCAGTCTGGAGAAAATTCTTTCAAAGTCTTAAATCAATTGAAAAAAAGTCACATTTCTCTAAAAATAACTTTTTATTAATTGCACCTCTTTGGACACACAAACGCAGGCATATGGAGAGCTTCTTGTGTGCACTGTTAGTTTATGAATGCATGTATCTGGTGTGTTTATCACTTGTGATGTGTTTTCTAGGGCCACCATGGCAGAAGCTGTCCAAAACCACGTCAGGTCTCTGAACTGGGGTCACAGAGTTCAGTTACAGGACAAGTAAGTGAGACCACATGTGCTCACTTGAGACTTATTTGGTTATTTCAGCAATGATTGATTGATTCATTTAAATGTGGTGATAAAGGATGAACAGGTGTTGATCAGCAATTTCTCCAATTTAATTTTGTATGTTGGTTCAGCTGTTATTAGGATGTTCATTTCAGAGTTTTTATCTCCCATCATAGTTTTAATGTTTTAATACAGTGGTCGCCAACCCGTCGATCGCGATCTACTGGCGATCTCCATAACTCTCTGGACTCACAGTCTGCGGTTGCGTGGCAGATCAGCTGTGGGTCGGTTGGCTGTTGTTCACACCCGCTGTGTGTCCGCAGCGGAGCAGCAGGTTTATCTCCTGCATCTCCTTCAATACAAGTCGGATTATGTACTGAACTAAATGTCAGCACTCTACGGTATGAAGTCCTGCATCTTCTGGTCTGTCGACAACAATCAAAGCCCTGTTAGAACAAATGAATGGATTCAGAAGTGAAACGCTGGATTGTTTTACTTTGAAACGGGTTCAAGAAGTCTTGTAAATACGTTTGTGACATAGACAGATCAACTTTGTGTTTCACTGCAGAATAAAATGATCTTTCACCTGAGTTTGAATGTTTATCTGTTGAATTTATCTCACAAACACAAAAGAAAAGAACTCCAGCGTTTCTGTTGACCAAATCCATTCTTTTGTTTAAAATGTTTTTTTATTGTGAAATATTTGCAGGAGCTGAAGATGCATGAATTCATACTGAAATAATAAATATGTGGGTTTTTTGGCTGGTAGAGCTGCTATCTGGCTGGTAGATCTCGGCTTACGTTTTGAATTAAAAAGCGATCTTGTGCTTTAAAAGGTTGGTGACCACTGTTTTAATACTTTCACAGCCGATCATCAGATATGATGCATTGCACTTGCACAGCTGAATGACTCAGCAACTACATGTTGATTGAGTTACTGCCTGGAAGGCAAACAGGTGTTAACCGCTACATAGCTGTTCCCAAAATGTTTTAATCCCAATGAATGTTTTTTTCCCAGATAAGATGTAAATTTATGAACGTATTGAACTTTCTTGTTAAACCATTGTTGTAGAGAAGATGTGATATGGAAATAAGTTGGGAGTGATAATGGGATGGTTATGAGTAAACCTGTTTGTTTTCTGTTTTGCAGGAAGGTGAAGTATCTGAACATGAGAGGAAGTCTGGTGGATGAACACACTGTTAAAGGATTAACTAAAGCAGGAAAAGAGGTCTGCTACTAATTCATATTTATTTCAATCCTTCAATTTCTTTACACAGTTTCAGTTTCGTCACCACTTTTATTTTAATCCCATTTTTATAAATGTGCATTTAAATTAATTTAATGCCTTTTGAGCTTCTTAATAAAATAAGTTTGCTATCCTAACTTTCTATGGACAACTCCATACTGACTGACAGTGCTGCTTGTTTCAGGGATTTCAGAGTGTTTCCATCGTCACCTGAATGTACAATACTGTGGAGACCACTTTCTCTCATTTGACATTTCCTTGTTTTCTAAAGGATATGAACAGAGATTTCACACTTTCATGTCATTTCCCTCCTCTCTCATACAGACCATCCTCACTGCAAAGAACGTTGTGATCGCCACAGGTGGACGGCCTAAGTACCCCACAAATGTAAGTATCATCGTTATTAGGATTTCTCTGCCAGAACGTTGTTGTTTGGTTGGTTGGATAGTAGGTAGACGAACAGGTGAGACAGAGAGGGAGTGAGTAGCAGATAAAACAGCCACAGTGAGGTTTGGAAGCATTCCATGGTGGCACATAGAGTGCACAAGTCTCAACACACCGTAGATCGTAGGTTTTAAGGAGCAATCTATTATTGATAGATATGTTGATAGCTGACTGATAGGTTGATGGTTATGTTCACTGCTTTAACTCTTATTGCAGATCCCTGGAGCGATGGAGCATGGCATCACCAGCGATGACATATTCTGGCTGAAAAAATCGCCCGGAAAAACGTGAGGAAGCTTTGTTTTCTAAAACAGCCTCCCACCTAGCGACACACACACCCTTGTATTAAACTGTCATACTGAGGAGATATTAACAAGCCAGTGCTGTGTGATTGTGTGCAAATTGCAGACATTTTTCATTATTCCAGCAGCATTATAATATTTTGTATAAAGATTGTTGCCATCTTTCTCTTTACATAGAAGAACGAGGGAAACAGCCTCTAACCTCGGTAGTATTAATGTCTCGCTCTACCCAGGCGATACATTGCTCGCTGACACACCATGTCCTACTGTCACGCACTGTAATCACTCATCGGTGACATGCAGT